CCGTCCAGAAATGGCTACATTATGACACCATACTTCAACATAAATAAATACATAAATAAGTAAGAAATATCTGTTACCTGTAATGGTTAATCTTAGGTCGTCAATGTTACAGAATCAGGAATCAACTAAGAGACTAGTCCCTGGGGATACCTGGAAGGGAATTTTTGTTTTGTTTTGTTTTTAGATAAACTGGAGTGGGAAAAGCTACCCTTGTGATGTGAAAGGTGTCTTTCCATGATTGCCCAGGAATCACTGGGAAGAATTTTTGTCTTTTTGACTTCATGTCTCCCTGGCAAATTCATCTACCCTGTTACTGCTGCTGCTTCTGTTCTTTGCTTGCACAAGAACCTAGTTTCTTTAGTCTTCCAGCATGGACTGAAGACCAGTGGTTCTCCAGGAATCATTTGGGTCTTGGCAGCTTGGGATTGCTCAGACAGCCAACCTCGTGCACTAAGCAGCTACTGTTTCTCAGCCTCTCCAAAATGAAGGCGGACATTGTTGAATTGCAGTATAAATAAACCTAATACATTTTCTCATTTTTCTTATTTCTCTCTCTCTCTCTCTCTCTCTCTCTCTCTCTCTCTCTCTCTCTCTCTCTCTCTCTCTCTCTCTCTCTCTCTCTCTCTCTCTCTCCTTCTCCCTCTCTCCCTCTCCCTCTCTCTATTTCTATGATTCTATGAGACCGAGTCTCACTACGTCTATCTTGAAACTCACCATGTAAACCAAACTGTACTAGAACTCACAGTTCCACGGGCCTGCTTCTGCCTCCTGAGTGCTGTCATTAAAGGTCATTAAAGTCATGTGCCATTATACTTGACTAAATTTCCCTTGTTGTTGTTGTTTTTTTTTTTTCTTTTTCTAGACAGGGTTTCTCTGTGTAACAGCTCTGGCTGTTCTGGAACTCGATTTATGGGCCAGGCTAGCCTTGAATTCACAGAGATCTTTCTGTCTCTGCCTTTCAAGTGCTGGGACTAAAGGTGTGTGCTGCCACACACAGCCTAAATCTCCTTTTTAAAGACTTAAATAAATACACATCTCTATATATCTATATATATAGCTGGGTAGTGGTGGTGGCACATGCCTTTTAATACCAGCATTCTGTAGGCTGAGGCAGGTGGATCATTGAAGTTGAGGCCAACCAGGTTTCCAGAGCTAGTTCCAGAATAACCAGGGCTATGCAAAGAAGCCATGAAAAAAATTATAGGTGAGTGTATGTGTGTTATCTGCATGTATGTCTGTGTACTACATACATGACTGGTGATGGATGAGGCTAGAAGAAGGCTTTGAAGACCTTGGGACAGAAGTTAGAGGCCATTGTGGGCGCTGGGAATCAAATCTGGGTTCTCTTTGTTTTCTTTCTTTCTTTCTTTCTTTCTTTCTTTCTTTCTTTCTTTCTTATTTTGGTTTTTCAAGACAGGGTTTCTCTATTTGGAGCCTGTCCTAAAACTAACTCTGAAGAATAGGTTGGTCTTGAACTCACAGAGATCCGCATTCCTCTGCCTCCCAATGATGGTATTAAAGGCGTGTGCCATCACCGCCTGGCAAAACCTGGGTTCTCTAGAAGAGCAGCTGGTGCTCTTATTTTCCCAAACTGAAATTCTATCTCCAACAAGAACTAACTCTCCATCATTCCTTTCTATATGCCCTAGCAAGGACAGTTCTGTCTCATGCTTCCAGGAATTATACCAATCCAGATACCATTATGTCGCAATTTCTTCTGAAATGAAACTTTTCTTTCTGGAGGAGGCTTATTAAGACTGTGGAAGTAAAGCCGCGTGGTGGCACACACAATCTCAGCAGAGGAAGAGGAAGGAGGATCTCTGTGAGTTTCGAGGCTACAGCCTGGGCTACAGAGATAGTTCCAGGACAAGCAAGGCTATAAGACTGCACAGAGAAACCCTGTTTCACCCCAAAAGGGTCTGGATACAGAAATGAACTATGTGCCCAATGCCCGTGGATCATTTGGAGGGTATCTTGCTCTCCACAAAATATAACTGATGGGCACACGCTAAGATAATGCATTCCCTCCTGTCCTCATAGCCACAGTCTAGGGTTCCCATCTGTGGTGATCATCAGGGCACCTGGGAATGTGAATTCATGAGGGGATTTCAGTGTTAAACATGTTCATGCTGAAATTCCATTTTTATTCTTCTAACAGCTTCTGTCATGTATTCATGCATGAGTATGTGGTTATGTGTTTGTCCATGCACGTAGAAGCCAGAGTTCAAGGTTGGATGTCTTCCTTTATACCTTGCCACCTTATTTTTTGAGACAGGGTCTCTCACTGAACTCAGAGTTCACCAGTTTTGGCAGGACTACCTGGCTCGCAAGCTCCAGGGGTTTTGTATCTTTGTACTCTTCAGTGTTTGAGTCACGTGTGCTACCATGTTTTTTTTTTTTTGGGGGGGGGACACTTGGAATCAGCTTGGGCCTCATGCTTGTGTGGTGATAACCACTTTTCCAACTGGTCCATCTCCCTCGGTCTTTAGTAACTCCTTTGAGTTATTCATAATTGTTGAAATAGGAGCGGCGGCGGGGCTGCGTCCCCAACACCCCGGCCGCTTGGCTAGCTCATGCCCGAAATAACAACACACAAACTGTATTCATTTAAGAACTGCTTGGCCCATGAACTCTAACCCTTACAGGCTAATTCTCGCACCTGGACTAGCCCATTTCTAATGATGTGTGTAAGCACCCCAAGGTGCGCTTACCGGGAAGATTCTAGCCTCCGTCCATCATGGTGTCTCTGCTCCAGAGAGCAGAGCTGTTGAGTCTCCGGGAGCAGAGCAGAGTCTGACCTCACTTCCTCTTCCGCCCAGAATTCTATTCTGTTTATTCCGCCCACCTATCTTTTAACCTATCAGGGCCAGCAGTTTCTTTATTACTCAGCCAATGAAATCAACAGATTGATATGACACTCCCACATCACATAATTCTTTCCTTTTCATTCATCACAGTTGTTGAATCTCTTATCACTCAAGTTGATCTGAAGTTTGAGATCCCCCCCCCCCCCCGCCTCCATTCCTTCTGGGTCATGGATAGATGGTGAACTGGTGATGGTATATCAATTGGTCGCTATGTATCAGCGAATATTCCTACCATTCCCTCATCCTGTGATGGGGCAGCCCAAGGCTAACCTCACGCTCTACCACTTTGGCGTAGAATAAAGCAGGCCTGATTACAGCACTCACTCACAGATGATTAATTTGTCTACGTTATATAGTTTCTAAATTGTAATGCCAGACTTTCAGTCCAATTCTTTCTGAATTCATTGTCCCTACTCTTTATCTGCTAATCTCTGTTGTATCCTGGGTCCCCCAACTGACAATAGACAACTTCTTTGTCATAAACCTTTTTTTCTCTTTTACCATTGCTGGGGCAGATCCCAAGATTCACACCTATCCGACAACTGCTCTACCACAAGGTTATATTCCCAACCCAATGACCACACCTTCCTTTCTTTCCGGTGTCTCTATGTAGCCCTGGCTTTCCTGGAACGCTGTAGAGACCAGGCTAACCTTTAACTCCCGTATATATACCTTCCTCCATCTTCCCAGTGCTGGGATAAAGGTACATGGCATCATGCCTGCCTATCACAGTCTTAATCTACACATGAAACCCCATAGTTGATTAAATTTCCCTCAATTACATTAGATATAATCCCACTTTTTAAAAAGATGCATGATGAGTATTTTGTCTAAATGTGTGTATGTGGATAACATGCATGCCTGGTGCCCTTAGAGGTTAGAGGGCATAGTGTCCTTTCAAACTGGAGTTATATAGATGGTTGTAAGTTGCCATGTGGATGCTGGGAATCAAACCTGGGTCTGCTGGGAGAGCAATCAATGCTCTTAACCACTCAGTGATCTCTCCAGCTCTAACACTTTCTCTTTTTTTTCTTGAGACCAGGTCTTTCTATGTAGCCCAGGCTATCCTGGAAATCACTATGTGGAGCAGGCTGGCCTCACACTCAGAGATCCTCTTGCCTCCTCCTCCCAAGTGCTGGAGCTAAAGGCATGAGCCACCACACTTGTCCCACTTTTGATATGGTAGAGGTTAACCTTAAGGTCTTATTCTTGTCCTGCCTTCATGTCCATCTCTGTGCCCCCATTCTCCAAGTGCTAGGGTGACAGGTGTGTAGAAATGATGTCCAGTCTTTGTGATGCTGGAGACCAAACTGAGGGTCTCACAGGCTAGGAGAGCACTCTGCCCTCTGAGCCACATCCCCAGACTCTGCTCCGTGTCAGTTTGAAGGAGACACTTCAGGAGCCACTTGTGGTAACCTACCCATTAACATTATAGCACTCGGGGGCTGCAATAGGAGGATTGCATGTTCAAAGCTAGCCTGGGCATCTAACAAGATAGCTGTCTCAAAGTGAAAATAAAAAACACTTGACTGGGTTGGGAAGTAGCTCAGCAGCAGAATACTCCCCTAGTTGAGCCAAGCCCTGGCTTCAGTTCCTAGGTTTTGTGTTTGTCTCCCCACTGTTTGCCTGAATGAGGTCTGAAAATCACAAGCCAGAATCCATTTGTCACTTCACAGCATCGGCAGGTCATTTTCCAGTGTTGGTTGTTTCTCTTCATCTACCGCATGGCTCCTGGGAAGGACATCTGGTCTTTGGACTTGGTGGCAGCCACCCTATACAGCTGAGCTACCTCAGCAGCTTTAATTCTAGTCTCTCTCTCACTCTCTTTTTCTTCCAGAAAGTGTTCTTCTGTGTAGCCCAGGCTGACCTGGAACTTGCTCTGTAGACCAGGCTGGTCTGGAATGCAGAGACCCACCTGCCTGCCTCCACCTCCTGAGTTTTGGGATTAAAAGTATGCCTGCCCGCCCCCCCCCAATTCTAGTTTCTTAAACGATTTATTCTCTTAGAAGTCAAACAGCAAAAACTAAGGAAACCCAGATAAATGGCAAGACAGGATAAAATGTGAAATATGAGAAAATATGGCCTGATGTGTGGAAACAAACTGCTAAGTCTGAGCTCCGGGTTGGATCCTCAGAACCTACACTACAGAAGGAGAGAACTGAACTCCCCAGATGGTCCTGATTGCCACAACCTAGGCCATGGACATTCACACACTTACAGAGACACATCAAATAAAAGGAGTTAAAAAAAATCGGAGGAAAAAAATTTTTTTTTCTTGGCAATACTGGTGACTGAATTTAAGGCCCCAGGAATAGTAGGGAAACTCACTACTCATCCAGTTGGTAACGGCTTGAAGGTTTCCCTCAGAGTCACTTAGGACCTCGGCATGCTCCCTTGCTTTCAGGATGCTCAACAGAGAAATCCTAATCGGAGGAACCTAAAAGCACGCTCCCTGCTTTCAGCTGCGAAATTCGGCTGCCCTGCACACTGGACTCCACGGGAGCATTTCCTCACTTCTTTTCTGGGCGGCCGGAAACGAGCGAGCGAGCAGTCTCCACTTACACGAGGGTCACATTATCTTTAGCACTTATTTTTTTTTGCCTTCTTCCATATTTATATTATATTTAAGGCACTATAGAACATGGTCTTTTATTAAGCTCATCTGTTAGAGAAGGTTGAAAATACCTCCAAAGGATCTTGGAAGTTTCAGGCAGATTCAGAAAAATAGTTCTCAAGTCTTTCTTGAGAGTGGTACCTGGTAAAGATGTGTAGAGACGTGAAGGGCAAAATCACACGGAATCTCGTCCTGGATTGCTTTACCCTGCTGTGGTTTCCCCCCGTTTTGGTAATTATCAATATTTTCGTAGTCCAGATACCCCCCCCCCCACCGTGGAATCAGATATTTCAGACAAAATGGAAAGAACTCGCAGTGTGACTTTGGGAAATGAACAACCTTTCGAAAAGGTAATGAAGGGGATGCAAAGTGTCTCTAACCCGAAATGTAGCAGGTGCCTGGCGGACTTAATGGGGTTCTAACGATCAACCTGCGAAGGCAAAACTCGGGCGCTCCGATCGTGTCTTTGCCGGTTCGCGGAGCAGCGCCTGAGCTCCCACCGCCTACTACGCAGAGACCCAGCCCAGGCACCTTCTCCCGTAAATGTCCACCGACTGAAAATACGTTGTAAGTCCACCCTCCCGACCCCCCTCCTTCAAGACCTCCCCTTTAAAGGGAGCCACCGAGTGACGCCGGGGGAGTTTGCGGAAGCGCCTACCGCGTTGGGCCCTTGGGCGGATCCCGTGATTGGAGTCGGCCCCGCCCCCGGCCCCGCTTCCTCCATTGTGTGAGCTCCTAGACCGAGGCCCCGCCCCCGCCCCGCCTCCGGAGGCCCGGTCCCGCCCCTCTTTGCCTCACCCGCCCCCCCCATCTTGGCTCATTTCCGGCCGCCGCCGCTACCGCTATCCTGTAAGGAGGATTCGGCAGAGGCAAGAAACAACAGCCGCCATCTTGTTTGTGTGCTAGGCTGGGGGGGAAGAGAGAGCGAGAGGGACCGAGCGTACAAGCGGGACGCCCGGCTGAGTGCGAACTGCGGGAGCAGGGAGCGCGGAGGGGACCGGGCCGGAGAGCAGCGGCCTCGGTCGAGACATTGGCAGGGGGCCCGGGGCGCACAGGCTGAGGCGACCCCCAGCCCCCTCCTGCCCGCACACACCCCCACCGCGGCCCGGGCCGGCGTCGACGCCTAAGGGGGAGACCATTACATAAGCCCGAGCCCCGCGGCGCCTTTGCCCGCCGTCCAGGGCGGCCCCGAGCCGAGCCCCGGGGGGGGGGGGCGGGAGCTCCCGGCACCTGGCTGCCCGGGTGAGGGCCGGAGAGGCGGCCCCTACGTGTTTCTCCGCCGCGGGCTTGCGGGCGGAGGCGGAGAGCGCGGCGCGCGGGGAGGCCGCGTCGGTGGGCTCGGCGTCAGCGCGGGCTTGCGGGCGGGCGGCCCTACTCGGCCCGGCCCCCCTGGCCCTCCGGGCCGGCGAGCTTCACGCTCGGCGTTGTCGCCGCGCCTCCGCCGTTCGCTGCGCTATGTGAGGCGGCGGCGGCGCCAGTCTGGCTCTCGGCTCGGCTGAGCTCAGTGCGGCCATTAGGGGCCGGTGCGGCAGCGGCGGCGCGGAGCGCAGCGGCAGCAGGAGGAGGAGGAGAAGGAGGAGGGGGGCGCAGGCCCGGGAGGGGGCACCGGGAGGAGGTGAGTGTCTCTGGTCGCCTCCTCCTCTCCCCCTTTTTCGCCCCCGCCTCCTTGTGGCGATGAGAAGGAGGAGGACAGCGCCGAGGAGGAAGAGGCTGATGGCGGCGGCGGAGCTCCGAGAGACCTCGGCTGGGTACGGGCCCGCCGTGGCGGGCTGGGGACTGCGTTTGTAGAGCTGTGAGTTCCCGAGAATTCGCTGCAGCGGACGTGCCCGTCGGATCAGTGTTGCTGTGCCCTCCTCAGGCCCGGCCCCTCGCACTTGCCCCTACCATTTCTGTTGAGTCCGCATCCCTCTCCGGCCGCCGCAACCGGGCGAAGAGAAAAAGGAACTTCCCCCACCCCCCTTGGGTGGCGGCGGAGCTCCCGAGCCCACCCTTAGGAGCGGGGCGGGGACCCCGGGTCGAAGAAGAGATTTCCTCAGGATTCTCGTTTTTCCTCGGCTCTATCTCCGAAAAGAATTAAAAATGGCCGAGAATGTGGTGGAACCTGGGCCGCCTTCAGCCAAGCGGCCTAAACTCTCGTCTCCGGCCCTCTCGGCGTCGGCCAGCGACGGTACAGGTTAGTCTCGGGACTCCCGACCTTCCACCTTTCCCTTGGTTTTTTTCTAGTCGTTGCACCCTTATTTTTCGGTGTTTCTGTGTATGTCTTCCCTGTGCCTCGGCCAGGGTTTAATTTTGAAGGTGTTTGAATGGGCTGGTTGAGGACGTCCAGCAGCCCAACCATTTTCTTTGCCTTCTGATACAGTCATTGCAACACTGTCATTCCACATCGTTGTGTGTTCTGGAATTAAGTGCTTGGAGTTGCTGCTGCATGGACCTTTATTGTTGGCCACATGCAAATTAATTTGGGGAATGCCGGTACACTTGTGTGTAAGCACTTTCCTGCACTTTTAGTTTTTTTTTTTTTTTTGTGCTACTGGTGAGTGAGGTATTTATTTCAAATCTTTCTCTCCTATTGCACTTTATTCTTTTCCTTTGCTTTCCCACTTTCAAAATTTTTTTGGTCTGAGCAGACTTTCTGTTGAGGAATGGGTTGGAAGAAAAATCTTGGGAGTGTGTGTGTGATCCAGGATTTGAAGTGTTACATGAAGTATAACAAAATACTATTCTTTGGTTCCCATTCCACATTCTTGCTTAAAGAATCAGGATTTGCATCTGTTTGGTGTGAAACCAAAATGTCTCAGACTCAGTCATCAGGTGAGGAGACCTGAGGCATTTTCTTTGCACCTTACTGTTACTTATTTAGGAGGAAAGAGAAAAAGATAAAGCTTTTTTGGAATTAGGTAATTAGAAATGGAGATTAGAAATTGAAAGAACCCCAGTCATGGACTTCCAACTAAAGTGATTGTATAAGTTTGAAAATATATAGTAAATTTTGTGTATGTTTTAGTTTTTGGAATTTTGCTGTTTCAGTTAACAAGATCAAGGAGTTTCTTTTCTCCACTCTGCCCCTTTGTTAGGAGAAATGCAGGGAGTCTCTGTCATCCTGCTCTTTTTTCTGCTTACTTAGTTTAGTGTTATCATTATTAGTTTAGTAGTGTTATTATGATAGTCACCAGCCTGGTTCTCTTTTGCTGAGTTGTTTGAGAGGCCACGATAATGAAAAAGAATAATGGCTGGTGTCTGACAGTCCACAAGATGTTCCCCCTTACTACAAACATCTCTTTAACTCGGGGAACAGGCTCAACGTCATCCCTCCCATCGGCCAGTGAGGGTGCAGAATGGGGTTAAATGTACCCTGTAAGTTTGTAAAGAACTGTTGACCATATTTCTAAGTAAGACTCATGAAAATAAGATAGAACAGGTGCTTTCCTTTGCTTCTAGAGGCTGTATTTTTTGAACCATGAGTCTGTTAAGCTGCAACGATTGCGAAGGGCAAGTCTTGCAGTGTTCTTAAAGGCTCTAACTTTAGTTGTACAGGAGTATTCATCGGTGAAGTTTGTGTAGTCTCAGAGAAGTTTTAAAATATGTCATCAGAATTCTCTGTATTGACATTATTCATTTGTAGGTATAGAGAATGTCTACAGACATTCTCCTATGCCCCTTTGTCGTCCCCCCCCACCATGCAATAATGTAGTTCTGTAATCTGTTCATAAGTTACCGTATTTGACCTAGCCAGTAACTTAAAATACTGTATGGAAAACTTTTTAAATGAATTACTTTGAAAAGTCCTAGTTTGTGGCTTAGTCTTGAAGTTCTATTCAAACATTTCTGTTCAGGTGGACTACTGTATTCTCTGTGTGTTTAATCTATGTATGTATTTAGCTAACTTGTATAGCTTTGACTAACTTTGGTGGTTAAAAAGCGAAACTTGCTTTGCATATCCTTGGATACAGTTACTGGAGTCTTTTCTTTTTTTCATAATTTCTTGTTTTGTTTTGTTTCTCTGTGTAGACCTGGCTGTCCTGAAACTTTCTCTGCCTCCCAAGTTCTGGGATTAAAGGTGTGTGCCACCACTGCCTGTCGCCAATTACTAGAGTCTCAAATATAAAAAAAATTCAACACTGAAATTGATTTATTCTTGGTACTAAAATTTTATGTAAATAGTAACTTTTTTCTAAAAGTTGTAACGAGTTAATATTTTGCTCCTTTTGAATATATACGTCTCTGAATATACTGCAACTCTCAATGTAGACCAGACTGGCCTCAAACTTCTTGCTTCTGCCTCTTGAGTGTTGGGATTAAAGGCCTGTGCCACAGTGCCAGACTTGTTTTGCCATGGCTGTCAGGTCCCCTGGAATTGGAGTTATGGACGGTTGTGAGCTGCCATTGGATATTGTGAATTGAACCTGGGTCCTATGGAAGAGCAGCCAGAGCTCTTAACCGCTTGTTTTTTTTTTTTTTTTAATTGAATACAGGGTATCACCATCTAGCCCTGGCTTTTCTGGAATTTAGAGAGCTGCCTGCATCTGCCTCCTCATTGGTGGGATTAAGGGTTTACACCACCAAACACAGACAATGTGCAATTTAAATTGTATAAGCCTCTGTTTCTGGTTTTGTTTCTGACTAAAGAAGTGAGTACAAAGAAAATGGTACCCTTCTGAACTTATGGAGGGTACCATTTACATTTTTAATAGTTCTTTACATACAGAAACAAGTATGATAGTAAAACTTGGAGTATCTATATTTTGATTTTTAAGAATGTAAAAGTTGTTTACTGTGACTGATTTTTGTTTAATCTAGAGCTGGTTGAAATTCTAGACTCCACAAACTTTAAAAAAGTAAATTAGCATGGGCCTGGAGAGATGTTTCAGTGGTTAAGAGCACTGGCTGGTCTTTCAGAGGACCTGGGTTCAATTCTCAGCACCCACATGGCAGCTTACAAACTGCCTGTAACTACCTCCAAGGGGGTCTGATCCTCACACAGACATGCATGTATGCAAAATATCAATAAAGTAAAAAAAAAAAAGTAAATTTGCTAGCCTGGTCTACAGAGCAAGTTCCAGGACAGCCAGGGCTACACAGGGAAACTGTCTCTGGGAAAACAAACAGACAGAAAACAAATTAGGCCCGACGCTCAGGAGGCAGAGGCAGGTGGCTCTCTGTGAGTTCTAGGCCAGCCTGATCTACAAGAGTTAGTTCCAGGACAGACTCCAAAGCCCAAAGCTACAGAGAAACCCTGTCTAGAAAAAACCAAAAAGAAAAAAAGGCAATTATATCCAGTGAATTGGTAAACTGTAAACTGAAGTATTATAGAATAGATAAGTATTTAAACCCAATTTTTTTGTTTGTTTTTTGTTTTGTTTTCAAGACAGGGTTCTCTGTGTAATAGCACAAGCTGTTCTGGGACTGTCTGTGTAGACTAGGTTGACCTCAAACTCAACAAGATTCATCTTCTTCTGCCTTCTGAGTGCTGGGATTGCTGGGAATTAAGTTTAGGTACTAATTCAGAATTAAGAGGACCCCTAGGTACATTGTGAAACTGGCAGGTTGCTTCATTCCAGTGACTTGGTGTAGTTTTATGTTTTGTCATGAAATGGGAAGGAATAAAAACCTTTTTATATTTTTGTTTTCATACTTTTATGTTTGTATTTCAGTATTTGCATTTGATCCATTAAAAATTGTATTCAGGCCATTCAAGGTGGCCCATTCTTTTAATCCCTGCATTGGGAGGCAGAAGCAGTCAGAAAGTTTGAGGCCACCCTAGTCTACAAAGTGAATTCCAGGACAGCCAGGGCTGTTACACAGAGAAACCATGTCTTTACCCCCCCCCCCCAATTGAGTTTGGTGTAAGTTGTGCAAAACTTTGAAATATAATGTTTAGTTATTTTTATTATTATTTTGAGATCTCACTACGTAGCTGTGGCAGTCCTATGTAGAACAGGCTGGCTTCAAAGAGATCTTTTCTGTGCTTTGTACCATTTGAAACATCATTTTGTTTGTTTTACCCTTTCTCTTCTAAAAGATAATGAAAGCTATTTGTAAACTTTTTTTTTTTTTTTAGTTTTTCGAGACAAATTGGCCACAGAAGTTAATAGGTAAATTTTTTTTTAATTTTTTTTTATTTACTTTTTTATTTTTTGGATTTTTCGAGACAGGGTTTCTCCGTAGCTTTTGGTTCCTGTCCTGGAACTAGCTCTTGTAGACCAGGCTGGCCTCGAACTCACAGAGATCTGCCTGCCTCTGCCTTCTGAGTGCTGGGATTAAAGGCCTGCGCCACCACAGCCCGGCAATAGGTAAATTTTTGAGTAATTGAAGAACTGATTTCTGTTGATTTTTTTTTTTTTTTTTTTCGAGCAATGATGAAGGTAATTTCCACCCCCATCCTCCTTCGTTTTTGAGACAGGGCTTCTCTGTGTAACTCTGGCTATCCTGGAACTTGCTCTGTAGACCAGGCTGGCCAGGTTGGCTTTTTACTCAGATTGACCTGATGAGGGTTGACTTTTTTTTCTCCTCCTTTTCCTTTATTGCTCATTGAACATTTTGTCACTGCTTGGAAATCACTTAAGAGCACTTAAGGAGGCAGTGTGCATTCCTTTAATCCCAGCTGTGAGCTCGAGACCAGCCTAGTCTACAGAGCAAGTTCCAGGACAGCCTGGACTGTTATACAGAGAATCCCGTTCTTGGAAAAAACAAAAACAACAACAACAAAAAAACGCAAAGGTGAGCACTTAAGTTAAGAACACACTCTGTAAAGATGGGTGATAGTTATAGGACCTATCACAATTAAGTAGGGTAAAGATCCCTCCTGTAGCCCTGCTGTGTGAGTAACTGGATTGACTTTGTGTTATGCCCCAACCCAGTCGCTTCTTCCCCAATTTCAAAGGCACCAAGGAGATAGTATATAAAGTATACTTATGTTGACCATTAGGTTAATGTAGAGAACTGGTAAGGATGATTATTTTGCTACAGTTTTCCTGCCTCTGTCTCCCCAGTGTTGGGATTACAGAAGCAAGTCACAATTTTTTTTAAATGTCTGTTTTATTTTTCTAGGGTGGCATTGTGTAAGTTACTTACCATCCTATTTAGAAAACTTGTATGGAATAAAATTTTTTTTCCTAGCTCAGACCTTGGGATTATATTTTAATTTTTTTTTTTTTGTTAGGAAATGTGTTTATTAGAGTTGTTTTGGAATCAGATAGGTTAAACAGCTCCTTGGTTTAATGAGGTATTATTGCTGATTGTGGTGCAGTATAGTAGAATACTGTGTCCTGTACCTTAAATTTCTCAAGCCCATGGTAAATTTACTGATAAGACCTCAAGAAGGTTGTTTGGTTGGCAGTAAGATAGTAAATAACATTTTTTTTTAAGTTGTAAGTCCTGTGTGTTATAATATGGATACCTTTTCCCAGTAGGAGCTTGTGTTTTGTTGCTTAAGCAGAGACTGTATTAGCATGCCTAGTGAATTGATACTAGGGAGGGTGAAGAGGATTTCTGCCTTTGATGCTTTTGGACATTTTATACCTTCTTTAGTCTATTCATTGAAGAAAGTAATTTGAAACACTTGAAAATCAATGCAGCATGGCAGTTGGGACACACTTTTTTAATCTCAGCACTCAGACAAGAGCATCTCAGTCTAGGTCAAGCTGGTCTACAGAGTGACTTCCAGGGCTACATAGTGAAACTCTGTCTCGAATCCCCCCCCCCCCAAAAAAAAAGAAATAAAAAAAAATCAATGCATGATGATATTTGTAGACATTAAGTAGTTAAAGAAAGGGAAGAAGTGTAGGAAGAATGTTGCCTGATACAAGTGGGAGTATAAATTTTCAAAAAAAGCTTAGAAGTTGAGTCAGGTGGTGGTGGCACACGCCTTTAATCCCATCACTCGGGAGGCAGAGGCAGGTGGATCTCTGTGAGTTCGAGACCAGCCTGGTCTACAAGAGTTAGTTCGAGGACAGCTACGGCTGTTAGACAGAGAAACCCTGTTTCGAAAAACCAAAAAAAAAAAAAAATCATTCTGCCAGTTTATAATACCCAACAATTAATTTATGGGAAACAGAAAATAATTATTTTGTGGTTTTCAGATTCTTTTCTCTTGAGAAGGGGTCTTGCTGTGCTTCCTAGGTGATCTGGAAACTCTAGTATTCACCTGACTCTGGAGTTCATCCTCCTTAGTAGCTAGGGCTGCAGGTATGCTGCTTTATACCTAACTTGAAGTTAATTTTGACTGTGATAAACATTAGTGAAATTAATGAATAAGTGAAATAACTTATGCTAAAGATTAAGAAAAATTAAAACATTAAATTTTGTGCTCACTTTGGCAGCACATATACTAAAATTGGAACAATACAGAAAAGACCAGCATGACCCCTCCACAAAGGATGGCATGAAAATTTGTGAAGTCTTACATATTTTAGAAAATAAATAAATTTTGAGTTGGGTGTGTTCATTTGTCTACATCCATAATTCCAGCGCTGAGGAGGCGATGGCAGGGACAATTGAGAATTTGAGACCAGCCTGGTCTATGATGTAGGAAGGCCCTGTTTTAAAACAAAATTGAAGAAATAAAGCCAAAAAATCAAAATAACAATATTGATTTTTTTGCAAATATTGCAAATCAATATTTTCATATTATAGTTAGTAGTTTCCTTTTGAAATTTTGATAGAGATTTACTGCTGCTCATTTCTTGAAGAGTTTAAAATGGGGCTTTCAAGATAGCTGAGTGGGTAAAAGTACTTTTGCAATCCTGTAGACCAGCGTTCAGTTAGAATCCATGTAAAGGTTAAAAAGGAGAACCATCTCTATAAAGTTGTTCTCTGACCACCACATGCATGATATAAGTACGAACATAAACACACAATGGGAGCCAAGAGAATAAATATTAATTGATTAATTAAGCCTCTTAGCAATTTGGATTTTTTTAGTTTTAGATTTATTTTGTCTGAATATTTAACTTGAATGCATGTATGTATGTATGTGCCTGGTGCCTTCAGAGATTAGAAGAGGATGTGGATCCCTTGAGATTGGAGCTGTCATGTGGGTACTGGGACCTGAACCCAGGTTTTCTGTAAAGCAGTAAGTACTCTTAGCCATTACTCTTAACCATTGAGCCATTTCTCCAGCCCTACAGATAAAATTTGTGTTTAAATTTAGATTCTTTTTAAGATAAATGCCTCAAAGTTTGCAATTTTGTTGAGAGAAAAATCTGAGATTAACATGGTCTACATAACTAGTTCTAAGCTACCGAAGGCTGCTTTTGTAGTGAGAGCCTGTCTCAAAGAAAAAAGCCATCACCAACAAAAACATAATGAACAAAAAATCCCAGCACTGGCAGATAGAGAAAGATGACTCTGAATTTGAGACCAGCCTGCTGTATAGAGCTAGTTCCAAGACAGCCAGAGCTGTATAGTGAGACCCTGTCTTTGAGGGGGAAAAGGGGAATTGATTAAATGGAGTTAGACTAGAAGTTGAGAATCCCATGGTTTTGTTAAATAACCTTGGGCCAATGACCTGACTTATGGATCTTTTTTTTTTACCCATAGCACCTACTATTATAGTTTGTAGTGAGGAATAAGTGAGAATTCACTGTAAAATGGTTTAGGAAAGCTGTATGTGTGGGGTGTTTACCTATAATCCCAGAACTCTAGGAGGATGAGACTAATTATTTCCAGTTAAGAGTTTAGCCTAGGCCGGGCGGTGGTGGCGCACGCCTTTAATCCCAGCACTCGGGAAGCAGAGGCAGGCAGATCTCTGTGAGTTCGAGACCAGCCTGGTCTACAAGAGCTAGTTCCAGGACAGGCTCCAAAACCACAGAGAAACCCTGTCTCGAAAAACAAAATAAAACAATAACAAAAAAAAAAAAAAGCAAAACAAAAAGAGATTAGCCTAGGCTACAAAGAAATAAAGTTTCTGGCTATCTAGGGCTATATAAAATGACTCTGGGACAAAATAAAACTAAACAAGCACTTGATGTTGCACAAATGTGCACATTATGTTAACTAGTTGTGTCAACTCCTATAGGAAATTAATGGTAGGTCTTTCCCCCTCAACACACACAGGTTTTCTCTATCCAGTCTCTACCTCTCAAGTGCTGGGATCAAAGGCAGGTGTCACTCCCTCACAGCTAGTGGTAGGTTTTTATTTTAATGGACATCCAGATAAAATGGGCAAAGACAAGGACTTACTTGATCACTATATCTCTAAATCCTGTCCCAAAAAACAAACCCTGCTCGCTCGCTCCCTCCCTCCCTCCCTCCCTCCCTCCCTCCCTCCCTTCCTTCCTTCCTTCCTTCTGTAATAGTCCAGTAGGTCAGGTTCCCTTCAAATCTTTTCCTAATCTCCTACCTGCTTGGTGTTCTGAGGTATACAAACATACATACGTGAATGAGAGTCTTATAACTCAGTTGGCTTCAAACTGTGACAGTCCTACCTGAACTTTCTGTGTACTGGGATTACAGATCTGAGCCATTAACACCTAGTTTAAGGATTAAGAACTATGTTTATACCTAAAACCAGAAACCTTGGTCACAGTGCAAAATTATCATTGTGTATGTGCTTGCATGTTCCTGTATATGTGGGTTTGAGGTGTCTGTTGTAGTTACTCCCCACCTTATATTTTGAGACAGGATCTCACTGAATCTGAAGCTCATTCATTGTTTAAGGTAGACATCTGAGCAACAGGCTCAGAGATTCTCCTTTTTCTACTTCCCTCAGAATTGGGGGATTACAGTGTCACTGCTTGGCTTTTACAGGGCTCCTGAGGGCCCAAACTATGCTTGAGTGGCAAGCACTTCACTGACTGAGCCATCTCCTTCCTTACCTGGATTGATAGTGAACTCTGGTATTTCTTCTCTTCTGCTTTAACCACCCACTATTTGGGACTAACATTGCCTATAGAAGTTTAGTTTTTACAGTATAGTCATTTAAATGGGTGCAAGATATTAAAATGAAAAAAAACTCGTGAAGAAGACAGTAAGAGAAGTGAGATTTAAAGGATTCTAGCTCTAGTAAGGGTGGTCTTTATTGCAGAAGATGGAAAAAAGTGGGACGGTTTGGAAGTTCAGTGGCTGAGGCATAACTTGGTTTTGTTTCCAGTATAAGTAGCCAGAAGGAGAAATCTAAGATTATTCCCAAATTTCAAGTTAGGGAAGGCAGGTAGGTAATTTACTAAGACCATATAGGAAGTGTATATGTGTATATATATGAATGAATGAATATGAATATAAGAATGTTATAACTTAACAGCATATAGCAGAACCCATAGCCACAGTGATAACCGTTGCATCAGCAGCAGCCTTTCCTCAGTATGATGGGGGAGGTGTTAGGTTCCTTATGTGCTTTTTATCCTTTTGTCCTCAGTGTCACTTCACCTGGGAATAAAGTTAGGCCCATTGTTGTTAGATCCTGCAGCAGGGCTGGGACTCACATAAAGTCTCCCGATTCTGTCCTGGCCATACGAGGTGATGGCTTAACCATTTTCAGAGGTTTAGTTCATTATCATCATGGGTCATTGTGGTGTGGAGACATAGTGCTGAAGAAGTAGCTGAGAGCCCTACATCTTGCAGACAACAGAAATTTTTTTTTTGAGGGGGCTTTCTCTGTAGCTTTGGAACCTGTTCTAGAACTAGCTCTTTTATTTATTTATTTTTTTTTTTGCTTTTTCGAGACAGGGTTTCTCTGTTTTTGGAGCCTGTCCTGGAACTAGCTCTTTTGTAGACCAGACTGGTCTCGAACTCACAGAGATCCGCCTGCCTCTGCCTCCCAAGTGCTGGGATTAAAGGCCACCACAGCCCGGCCCTGGAACTAGCACTTGTAGACTAGGCTGGCCTTGAACTCAGATCCACCTGTCTCTGCAAACATTAAAAGTGTGAGCTGACACTACCTGATTTTTATTTGTTTTTTGTTTCTTGTAACTAGTAGATGCTGAGTATTTATCAAGGATTAGGCTTTTGGGATATAATGGTGAACTGATCTGGATAGATTCTAGGGCTAGGCATAGTAGCTTGCCTGCCTAGCACACAGGAAGCCTGAGTTCCATCTCTAGCACCAAATAAAATCAGGTGTAATCCTAACACTTTTGAGATGGAGGCAGAAGAATTGGAAGATCAAGATCATCCTCAACTACTTAGAGAATTTGGGACTGGCCTGGTGGTGGTGGCAGGTCACACCTTTGATCCCAGCACTCTGGGCAGAGGCAGGTAATCTCTGAGTTTGAGGCCAGCCTGGTCTACAAGAGCTAGTTCCAAGACAATCAAAAACAAATAAAAAAAGAGTTATACGTAATAAGATTAATTGAGTCAAGTGGGCCATTAAAATGATCAGAAGTGAACTAAATTTTTTTGTATGTTTATATGTGTGGTGTGCATATTAGCATCCACGTGGACATACATGTAAGTAAGCGTGTGTATGTGGAGATCTGGGGTCAATTTGGGTTGTCTTCCTTGATCTCTGCTTTTTTAATATTGAGGCAGGGTATTTAAATGAACCTAAATTGGAACTAGATTTGATCTGTTTGGCAGCTTGGTCTTGATTCCCTGTCTCTGCCTCCCTCCCACTGGGATTACATGTTCTGGGGATCCAAACTTCAGACTTCAAGCTTAATCAGCCTGCATTTATACCCACCGATCCGTTTTTCTAGAGCCTGGACTAATTTTTTATTATGTAGGTTCAAGTATCTTTAATTATTAAATACCCACTAGTGTATTTTGTTTTAAAAGATTTTAATTTTTTTATTAT